AGTTACTACATCTGTTTCTTGGGGATCTCCCCTGCTCTTTTGTCTCCTTATCTCTCTTTGCTGTCATCGATGTATACTGTCTCCAGCACTAATCCTTTCCCCTGTAGTTTCCCTTTCCAGCTTCCAGTCTACTAATTGATGAAGACAAAGTGAACATTAAAAGTGGTTTCAAAATCAAAACCACTGGCACAGAACCCCTTGTCTGAAGTCTCCTGCGAGCAGGGAGTGTGAGCTGTGATACCAAGACCTTCTTCTAGATCCATCAAGTTGCTCAGTTGTCTTTTGGCTGAGCTGTCTTGATTCTTGGCTAGGTTTTAGATTATTTAAATCCTAGGGGAAACCATCTGGGAAGAGTGATACGTTGCTCTATTATTTTCCCATGGGTCTTATTTTAAAGCTCTGGATCAATGATGTGTGAGGTCCGAGGTTGGGTTTGCTTTCACAGGCACCACGGAGCAGGGAGTGCCTGCTCTGACTGGTTGGGGCCCTGGCCAAGCCGATCGTAAATAAATTCCGAATGTCACCCTGGGACAAACCACTCTTAGATGTAAGGAAGGTTACACATAATGAAAATGGTAAATCAAAATATTTCCTATGAAGGCAAAAATAACCACTTCACAAATGGGAGTCGGTAAGACCAGGCGGATTTAGATGCTCAGATTATGTTCCTATCCCCATGCTCTGCTAGATCAATCTAAGAAGAAAGGGTTTCTTTGTCCATCCCCTCCCTCCTACCTATCCTTCTTCTCTTTTTTTCCTTTCTCATAGACGAATTAGTGATTCTCTTTTTTATTGATGGCAAGGGGAAAAAAGGTACCCAAATGCTTTGCATGGAGGCTGAGATAAGCAAACTATGAATAAATGCCAGCAGCAAGGATCTTTTTCCTTTCTAACATTGAGAGTAAATATGATAATTTAAAAAAAAAAAAAACTTAATATCTTATAGGATTTTCACAGTATGAGCATGTTTCTCCTGAGTTTCACATTATTAACACTTGAAAATTAAGCCCTCCCTCTAGCTCAGGAAACATTCCTGATTCTTCTCTCACAGTGTGTGGGATTCCAGGGACAAGGATGACTGGGAAGGGATGTGTGCATGACCGTCATTCCGATAGTCTCTGGCTGGTGAGTGTGGTGTTGGGACAGTGAGGCACCCCGAGTACAGGCTGGGTGTGTCATTCCTGAGAAGATGCTTCTCTGCAACTCACACATGCACACTCTGCCTGCTTTTCTTTTTAAATACAGTGCCATAGAGACACAGGTATAAGAGCTGATCACGAGTTAAAGTTCTGACCTTGGGCGACTTACTTAACCTCGTTGTGCCTCAGTCTGTTTATCTCAGTTGACAACAGTGTTGACCTCATAAGATTGTTTTGAAGTTAATGGAATTGATATATGTAAAGTCCTTAGAACAAAGCCTGAAAACGGTATCACTGTTTCAGTGTTGATTATCATTTTCAGAATCCACCGAAGCCTCTAGAAGGAGACAGAGTAGCTGCCTTGTGGATTTTTAAGAGCTTGGGTTCTGGAGTCAACCCTATGTGGATCCCACTATTTGCCCTCTCACATCCTGGTCCAGTGACCTTGGACAAGTTATTTACATGCTCTAAGCTTCTGTTTTTCATCTGTAGAAAGGGGTTAATTGCATCTTCCTCATAGAGCTGCGATGAGGATGAAATGCATGTAAAGAGGCCACAAGACGCTTGGCACAGAGAAAATGCTCCATACATGCTAGCCTTGGAGATGTGGAGGAGGGGTGGATGTTGATGGCCTGGCAGCTGTCTCCTGAGAACTCTTAAAGGCCATATCCATATCTTCCTTTGGGAAGAGAGGGAACCAGCCAGAGCAGTTTGGGGGAAGGGTCATAGGGACACAATTTACACAATTCTTTCTGTGCTTAGTTGGGGGACAGAGAGGAGACATATTGAAAGCAAAATAAGTTTGGGGGCTTCTACCAAATCCTGCAGGCACTTGAGTTCAGACACCTCCAGAAGGGAACCCCTGGGCTTTTCCTTAGGCCCCTGACCAGCAGTGAAGCCTTCAGACCAGGGAGATAAATAAGTTAGTCCTGGAATAGGATAGGACAGGACACAGCAGACAAGGCCTTAGAATAAACTAGGGTTCCATATTCCAGGTTTCCCTTCAGTTCTCTAACCCATTTCCCTGAAAGAAGACGGGGGAGGATGACAGATGGTTTAGCTTCCGTTCTGCTACTTCATTCACCTGGAACTTCTTCCTCCTGTTCCCTCTAAGAAGACTCCTACCTTTCTTTTATGTTCAAATGTCACTCCAGAAGGCCCGTACTCATTTTAGCTCTATGTGTGTGTCGTGGTGGTGCAAGGAACTGGTTGGGGAGGAACCATGAAATTGTGGAAACAGCTACTTACCTAGGACAGCTGGAATTTCTATTTTCCACCATAATTCTCGTGAATTTTGTGTGTGTTGTAATTTCAGTCATCCTGAGTGCCTGGATGGAGACATTGAATAGCCAGTTATAAGTTTTATAAGACTGTGAAGGTCTGTGTCAAGCAGTGAAACTCTTCTTTCATCCCACACTGCCTGTGCCACTCCAAGTCGAGGCCCTGCCTTGATCAGCTTTGACTCCATCCAGCCCTTGTGCCTGAAACAGAGCCTCTTGCAGAGCTGTCCAACAGCGCAGTAAAGACGAAGCTCCCTCCACACCCTAGACCCAGTCTGTGTCTGTAACTCTCAGCCATCTTCTGTGGGTAGCCCTCTTAGGTCACATAAATCAAGCCTACAACTTTTCCTGGATTTTTTCACATCTGCAGATAATTTGTAGACTTCTCACTCACTTTCATTTCTTCCCACGTATCTCCCCGTCCTTGGCCCACACCGTTTCTCATGTACCACTGTCTTAGTTCCCCTTACTTCTGGTGGCTCTCCCTCAGACTCATTCAAGTTCATTAACATGCCTTTCAAAATGCCGCCCACAGAATCGGACTCATCGCCACTCCTCTGGCCCGCTGCCCTTCAGCCTTCTGGACTCTTTGTGAATGAGCTCCAGTCATTTACGCTGGCCACTCAAGCTCCATCACTGTGTCTCCTCCATCATCTCCCCACCCCTCCACCTCCCATCAGGCACTAATTCCTATTGATTGTTCCAACTAAATATTGAACAGCTATAGTAGGTATTTGGATAGTATATAGTGAAGGAATATAAATGAATAAAATCCATCACTTGATATTCATTCCTTCTACTTCTGCCTCGAGCAAGGATTTTATTTCTCTTTGCTTTTATTTTAAAAAATTTCCAAGGTATAGAAAAGTTGAAAGAAATTGGGATGAACATCAATATACTCTTCCCCTAGATTCATCAATTGTTAACTTTTTGCCCCAGTTGCTTCTGCCTCCTTCTCTCTCCCCACAAAACATACACATACACTTCTGAAGATTTGTTATTAAACCATCTGAAAGTTATAGGCGCTGTGACATATCTTTGTTAAATACTGCTGCACACACCCCCTAAGAACTATGAAATTCTCCCTAGGGAACAAATTACTTCCCACAGATACCTTTAGAGTGAGGGCTTATAAGTTACAGTTTATGGGTGGGCTTTAGGGGGGCCATGAAAACCATGAAATTATATGCAAAACTGTGACCACAGAAGCAGTTTTCTGGGGAGGAAGTTCACAGCTTTCAGCCCAGCTTCAAAACAATGTGGTTCTCCTCCACTCTCTCTTAATATTGCAAATAGGATAGCAACATGGTCAGTTTTGGGTTTTTAGCTACCTCAAACAAGAATAATTCACAAGCCATCTAAAATATATTCAATTGCTTCCTATTGGCTGCATGCTGCTCCTGCGGTTTAGTTACCCGGTCATGTCCAACTCTTTGCGATCCCATGGACTACAGCTCACCAGGCTCCTTTATCCATGGGATTCTCCAGGCAAGAACACTGGAATGGTTTCTATGCCTTTCTCCAGGGGATCTTCCCAACCGAGGTATTGAAGTGGGTCTCCAGCGTTGCAGGCAGAGTCTTTATCACTGAACCACCAGGGGAGCCCGCCAACAGCATGGGAATGTTAATATTTCTTAGCAAGATGCAGAGGACCTTTGCAGTCATGCTTCTGAGGACACTTCCAGTCTCTGCTTTTACAGCTCCCTCCTCTCCGAGGAAACTGGCCACCCAGGCCCTGCTCTGGGCTTCACCTCACCCCACCCCCAATCACCACCCTTTACTGTCTTAGCAAGTATCTATTTCCCTTTCAAGATCCAACTCAGTAGCCAGCACCTCCGGGAAGCCCTCCCCGACCCTCTCTTCCCAGTTGCTTGTGATTAGAAAATGGTACCTTCCTCTATTATATTTGTCACATTCACTGTATTTGTTTACACAGCTTCATCCTGATACTGTGAAGCACTCAAGATACAGATGAATGATAAATGAAAAAAAAAAGACAAAAAAAAAAAGATACAGATGAATGGACACTTGATGAGAGGATCACACAACCCTTGCTAATTACCTGGAAAACTGACTGTCCACTCACGCTGTCATTGAGACACATTGGCACCCTGACTCCAATGGGCTTTCCTCATCTCAGACCCCAGTTTTGCCTTCACCAAAGGCTTTCATGTCTCTCCCCGGGTGACACCCTTTGGTCCTCTAATTGTGGCAAAGGACTTCATATCCACCCCTACAGTCCCTTGGCTGTTCAGATCCCATCACTTGAAAAGACAAGGCTATATCCATACACAGTAAGGACTCCACGTGATTTAGACACCAGGGGATGGATGTCTGTCCAGGCACAGGGACACTGGAAAAGCATGAAACAGAATCAGTTCTAGGCCCTTGTTGAAAAAGCACCAAGCTGTCCTGCAGTGTGGCTGCTACATGGACTAGACTGTGATGCGATGGCAGGCTGAACTCTAAAAGCTGGCATTGGGAGAGGTGACAAGTACTCTGGCATCACCCCTGCACTAGGAGGGGAGGGAAGAACACAAGCTTGAGGCTGTTTTCTTTGATTTCTTTGATTTTTTTCCAGGAGACTCCACTGTGCCTTTCCAGCACAGGTACTAACACTTCCAATCTAGAAATCAGACCCTGACTGGCAAGATGGCAAGCGGCCGGCCTTTTGGCTAGAGTCCAGGTCTGCAGCACAGGTAAGAGATCTGCACTGTATTCCTCCAAAGCCTAGTACAGTCAAGGGAAACAGAGCAATAGGTTGGAGTAAGAGGGGCAACCATTCTGCTGTGGATCTACTTGCTTGCAGGAGGGTTTGCCAAAGAGAATCACAGGAGGAGTTGAGCATTCAGAGGACAGGGGTTGGGACATCCTGCCAAGCTTCCAGCTTCTCCATGGGGTGCCTCCACTCTGCCTGCCCCCAGCAGCCATGGGAAGCTCAAAGGCTGCTAAGCTGTCTGCTCCTGTCAACAAGGCTGATCTCAGCTGGCAGCACCCTCCTCTTCTTCCTGCTTCCCTGGTGGGCTGGCCCCCATGGGATGTTAGTCCATCTGCCTTCAGAAACGTGCCACCCCAGCCTGTTTCCCCCATGGCTGTCTTCCTCTTGCCCAGCTGGATCGCCGGGCCCTGATGAGTGATGTTTCTGAGCGGATTCAATCCCCGGTGCTCCAATCAGAATGCATTACCAGGCAGGGCGCGTCAGCTCGACGATTTGGCTTCAACAATAAATCTCCTTGCTTTCATGAGTTTAAATCAGACTTTAAAACATCGCCCTTAATGTTCTTTTAATGCAGTTTTCTTCTGAATGAGTTCCCTTTAGGTCCAGTCCTTGTCATTAATACACTCTCTTGGCAAAGGAAGGAGGGCTTCTTCGAGGAAAACCCTGCCAGTTTAGGAAACCGGCTGAATTGCCTTGGTGATGCCAGGAGCCTTTTTTGCATTTTACAAGGACACTTGAGAAAACAAAACTCTCTGACTGTAAATTTAATTTTCTCTTGACAGCCTTGGTGTCTCTGCAGCCCCAGAAGTTATCCATTGCTTCTTTCTTCTGTAATTAAAAGTCAAGGCAGGGGGAGGAATGTACAGGATTAACAAGTTCTGATTTCATTGATGAGCTCTAAGAGCTTATCAATAATGGGATCAGAAAAGCCATGTTGCCTAAGCTCTATTTTTCCAGGGTGTCTGATTCTGATGGAGAATCTCATTCAAGGTGGGAAATGCTTGCTTTCCAAGGAGTCCCACTGCCAAAGTCAGGAAGAAAGGGCGGGGCGGGGCCATGCCAGTGTCTAGCAGGAGAGCGCCCGGGCTTGCTACTTTTACAGACTCAGCATTTGGGCTCGCGGGAGCTGATTACAGGGAAAGATTAAACAGCCTGTCTCTCACACACATGCTCCGTTTCTATGGATGGATTCTGCAGGAAAGGGAGCTTGCACGTATCTGCTTAGGAAGAAGAAAGATATTTCCAATTAAAAGAATATTGGTGGTAATTCCCTCTGAGTTATACATTTGTAGATAACAAGTACTTTATTGGGAGATAAGGGCATCTATCCTGTTTATCACCCATAGGGACATAGCTGAGCATGGGTTTCTCCGAGAGACGCCGAGCTGATCAATAGCATCTGGGCTGTGTCATTTCAAAAGTGGAGACACGCTGGCTCCCAGTGAATTTGACAGGCATGTGACAAGAATGAGCTGCTTAATTGACATGCACAGTTTCCACAAAACTCCCAAACAATCAGATGCAGAAATGACTCAAGTGAGGATTTTGTTTTGTTTTGTTTTTAAGCTAGGGCAAGTAAAGCATAGATAGCATAAAGCAGGAGCCCTAGCACCTAGCCTGAAGGTTCTTCTGTAGAAAAGCTGAGGCACTGCTGTGTTCAATAGGGGTGGCACTTGTAAGTTTCAGGCAGAAATTGGATGACTTGGTTTCAAAGCTTTCCTGCTTAGAGCTTGGAAAGTTCAGGCTACCTCTGGAGACAAAAAGATGCACAGGCTAGCAGAAATGGCCAGCAGCTGGGGATTCTGTCACAATGATACCAGTTTGGCTTCTGCCACAAAGAACTCAAAGCAAGACCAGAGAATCACAGACTACTGAGTGGCCCATTTCCAAAGGTTACCTTTTCTAGGTCTCTGGCCTGCTTTCTGATCAGATAGTCCTCCCTTCCCCAGGGAAAACAGGCTGCAGTGAAGCAAAGTCTAGGTGCTGAGGACAGTCTCACCTATAGAATACCAGAGGCAGTAAACTCGACTAGAGGGGATAGCATATGGATAGGCTAAGAGCATGGATTCTAGCCATATGGTTGAGTTGGAACAGATAGGTCCACTCTCATTAGCTGGTGATCTTGAGAAAGTTACTTAACCACTCCGAGGCTCTATCTTGTTTTCTGTATGTTAGAGATGATTTCATTGTCATCTCATAGGGTTATTATGAGGATTAAATGAGTGAATACATGTCAATCATGTAGAACAGTGTTCAGCATGTAGGAAACACTCAAGAAATGTTAACAACTTAAATATTATGCCATTTAAGCAATGAACTTGCCAAAGACAGAATGATTGGCTTCTCAGAGCCCCCTCCAACTCTATGGTTTTAAGCAGCCAGATGGCTTTCCTCACTGTTTTGAAGACGTAGGCAAACTTATAGGGGAACACAAGATAATCTTTAGGGGTATGTGGATGGACAGTTTAAATTTTAATAACTATGCATTTATGATGTATCAGAAAGAATCAAGTCCATTATTCCTTGAACATTCTCATATATACACATACATACACACATATACTCTGGAGAAGGGACTGGCAACCCACTCCAGGATTCTTGCCTGGAGAATCCCATGGACAGAGGAGTCTCATGGGCTACAGTCCATGGGGTAGCAAAGAGTCAGACATGACTGAGAGACTAACACTACACCACACACATATACAGGCTTTCCTTGTGGCTTAGCTGGTAAAGAAATATATATATATATATATATATATATATATATATATATATATACACACATATATCTTACAGAACATGTGCTATGCAATATGTGAAAAATCATAATGACAGTTGAACTGAATCTTAAAGGATGAGCAATAGTGATAGCGTGATTCTGTCAGGGGGACTGTCTATGCAAAGACCCAGGGGATAATCACCATAACAGCAAAGAAGAGAGACAAGGCTGGAGAAGAAGCTGTCAGAACATGGAATCTACATCATGTGAGCCATGACTTTGTCCCAGAGGTGATGGGAAACACCTCTGGTGGATGGGGTTGCAGGGGACTTGGAGAAGGGAGCTGGTTAGGACACTATTGCCAGTCGAGATGATGAAGACTGAGAAAAGCAGGTGAAATCAACAAATCTTTGGAAGAGAAAAGAAGATGCCCAGATTCTGGAACTAGTCTTGGCTTGAGGCAGGAAACTGTACGATGTTAGGTCTTGGCTGGGGTTGGATTTGACTTAACTGTGAGATTAAATGGTTTCAGCTTTGAAATATGGGGGGTGACTACCAAAGTGAGCCTTAGGAAGCATCACAACGAACAAAGCTAGTGGAGGTGATGGAATTCAAGTTAAGCTATTTCAAATCCTAAAAGATGATGCTGTTAAAGTGCTGCACTCAATATGCCAGCAAATTTGGAAAACTCAGTAGTGGCCATAGAACTGGAAAAGGTTAATCTTCATTGCAATCCCAAAGAAAGGCAATGCCAAAGAATGTTCAAACTACTGCACAATTGCACTCATCTCACACAATAGCAAAGTAATGCTCAAAATTCTCCAGGTCAGGCTTCAACAGTATGTGAACCGTGAACTCCCAGGGATCAAACGGCCAACATCTGTTGGATCACTGAAAAAGCAAAAGAGTTCCAGAAAAACATCTACTTCTGCTTTATTGACTATGCCAAAGCCTTTGACTATGTGGATCACAACAAACTGGAAAATTCTTCAAGAGATGGGAATACCAGATCACCTTACCTGCCTCCTGAGAAATCTGTATACAGCTCAAGAAGCAACAGTTAGAACCGGACATGGAACAACAGACTGGTTGAAATTGGGAAAGGCGTATATCAAGGTTGAATATTGTCACCCTGCTTATTTGACTTATAGGTAGAGTACATCATGCGAAATGCCAGGCTGGATGAAGCACAAGCTGGAATCACAATTGCCAAGAGAAATATCAATAACCTCAAATACACAGATGATACCACCTTTATGGCAAAAAGCAAAGAGGACTAAATGGACTTTCATCACCTCTTATTGAAAGTGAAAGAGGAGAGAGAAAAAGTTGGCTTAAAACTCAACATTCAGAAAACTAAGATCATGGCATCTGGTCCCATCATTTCATGGCAAATAGATGGGGAAACAGTGGGTGACTTCATATTTTGGGCTCCAAAATCACTGCAGATGGTGACTGCAGCCATGAAATTAAAAGACGCTTGCTCCTTGGAAGAAAAGCTATGACCAACCTAGAGAGCATATTAAAAAGCAGAGACATTACTTTGCCAACAAATGCTATCTAGTCAAAGCTATGGTTTTTCCAGTAGTCATTTATGGATGTGAGAGTTGGATTATAAAGAAAGCTGAGCCTTGAAGAATTGATGCTTTTGAACTATGGTGTTGGAGAAGACTCTTGAGAGTCCCTTGGACTGCAGGGAGATCAAACCAATGAATCCTAAAGAAAATCAGTCCTGGATATTCATTGGAAGGACTGATGCTAAAGTTGAAACTCCAATACTTTGGCCATGTGATGCGAAGAACGAACGCATTGGAAAAGACCCTGATGATGGGCAAGATTGAAGGTGGGAGGAGAAGGGGATGACAGAGGATGAGATGGTTGGATGGCATCACTGACTCGATGGACATGAGTTTGAGCAAGCTCCAGGAATTGGTGATGGACAGGGAGGCCTGGTGTGCTGCAGTCTATGGGGTCACAAAGAGTCAGACACAACTGAGCAACTGAAGTGAACTGAACCCTAGAATTTAGCCAACCCATAGAAGCTTATAAACAATTTAATTATTGGCTCCAATTATTTGCCAGTCCCCGTGAGTATATTTTTTTGTCTTGGCCAACACAGAGAAGAGAATACTTCCTTACATCTTGACTTTGAACTTAGCCTTGTGACTTGCTTTGGCCAACAATAAAAGGGAAAAGGTAATCGTGTGTCGGTTCCAAGCCTAAGCCTTAAAAGGCCTTGTTCATTTCTTTCTACCTGATTT